CTCAGCCAGGCAGAACCAGCCTGTGATGGTGCCAGGGGCTGCTCCTTCCCAGGAGCAGGACTTTGCATTTGTTCTTCTTGAATTTTGTAACATTGGACCATACCTCCAGCCTGTCTAGGCTTCTCTGAATGTCAGCCTGAGCCTGAAATTATTTAATGGTACCCCCAAATTGGTATCATCTGCAAATTTAATAAGCAAGCATTCTGCCACCTCTTCTAAGTCACTGATAAAGTTGTTAAAAAGGACCAGTCTCAGGATAGACCCCAGCAACACTTATTACTGGCCTCCATGTAGAGTACAACACATTAGTAACTACCTTCTCAGTCTGGCTGTCCATACAGTTGTGGTTTTTTTTTTTCCTCATCTGGTTGACCATCCTTCATGGCTATAACGTCCTAACTAGGATACAAGGATATTGTGGGAGAGTGTCAAAAGCCTTGCTGAAGTCAAGGTAAATGACATCTTGTGCCCTCCCATTGTCTATAATTCCAGACATTTTATCCTTGAAGGTAATCATAGAATCCCAGGTTGGAAGGGACCTCAAGGATCATCTGGTCCAACCTTTCTTGGCAAAAGCACAGTCCAGACAAGATGGCCCAGCACCCTGTCGAGATGAATTTTAAGTGTCCAATGTTGGGGAATCCACTATTTCCATGGGGACATTATTTCAATGGCTGATTGTTCTCATTGTGAAAAATTTTCCTTTTGTGTCCAGTTGGAATCTCCTCAGAAATAACCTGTACTCATTATCTCTCATCTTTTACATGTGAGTTCTTGTAAGAAGGGGCTCCATCTTTTCTGTAGCCACCCTTTAATAAAGTACTGGAACATGGTGGTAAGGTCTCCTCCAAGCCTTCTTTTCTCAAGGCTGAATAAACCCAGTTTTTGCAACTCTTCCTCACATGGCAGGCTTCCCAGTCCTTTGATCATCTTTGTGGCCCTTCTCTGGACTCTCTCCAGCCTGTACACATCTTTTCTGTATATCAGGGCCCAAAACTGAACACAGTATTCCAGATGTGGCTTGCCAATGCTGAGTACAGCAAGATAATGACTTTATCTCTGCTGGTGATGCCCTTGTTGATGTAAGTGAGCATCCTGTTGGCTTTCTTTGCTTCTCCAGCACACTGTTCACTCATACTGAGCTGCTTGTCCACCAGGACCCCCAGGTCCCTTTCCACAGAGCTGGTCCCCAGACAGGTAGATCCCAGCCTGTGCTGCACTCCTGGATTATGTCTTCCCAAGTGCAAGACCTTGCACTTGTCCTTGTTGAACTTCATAAGGTTCTTGTTAGCCTACTCTCTCAGCCTATCCAGGTCTTCCCACTGGGTGGATCTCCCTTCTGAAGTGTCCACTTCCCCACTCAGTTTGGTATCATCAGCAAACTTCACCAGGGTACACTTGATCCCATCATCCAGATCACTTATGAAGATATTAATCACATTGGTCAGGCATCATTCACCCTTGGTAAATCCATGCTGACTGTTTACCATTACTTTATTCTCCTTCATGTGTCTTGAAATATCTTCCAACGTGACTTGTTCCATCATTTTCCCAAGGGACTGAAGTGAGGCTGAAGCACTCCATAATTCACCAGACTGTCCCTTTGACCTCTTTTTTTTTTGAAGACAAGTGCAACACCTGTGTTCCTCATCATTGAGGATCTCCCCAGTCTCCATAACCTTTCAAACATAGCAGAAGGTGGCTCTGCAAGAGAATCAGACAGTTCTCTCTGTACCTATGGATGCAGCCCATCTTGTTGCCCTTTGTCCCTTTTAAGTTTTAACTAAAGCTGAGCTCTGGCTTTCCTGACATAGGAAGCCTGACACATTTCCAGGCCCAGAAAATGTCTCTAAATTTCTACAAAGTCTGTCCTTGCTTCCAACTCCTATATATTGCTTTTTGTAGTGGATGTCCAACACAAGTAACCTGTCTAGCTAAACCAGACTACTTTTCTTCCTGAGTATCAGGACAGATCATTCCTGCATTTGGAGGATACTGTCCTTAAACACCAGAAAGCTTTCCTAAGTAGCTTCATCCTTCATGGGAGTCTGGGTCTATCCTCCTAGCTCCCATGGGACTGCATGAGTAGCAGAACCAGCTGCATACCACCCTTACTTGTCCTATCCAGAAGTTATCTCAGACACCCTCTAGAAATCTTCACTGCTTACATCCTGCCATGTTTTCCTTCCAGCAGATGTCAGGGACATTAAAGTTCTCATCTTTCAGACCTATTGGACCCTTCAGAATTGTTCATAGGACTTCTGACTTTCTTGTCCTATGGCAGCCCTGAATCCCTTAAGATTCTTAGTTTCTAAATTCTTAGGACTATCAGTCCCCTCTAGTTCTCAGAAAGCCTCAATATGTTAAAAACAAAATCTATAATTTCCATTTCATGCAAACTTTTGATATGTGCAGAGGAAAAAAATCCAACCTCCATTTTTTTCAAACTTTCTAATTTTAATGCAAAACTAATTTTAGTTTTTAAATTACTCTACTACACCTTATTCACTAAGCTCAAGGCATAATTATTTGATTTTGACTTCTCTAAAACAGGTGAATATAATGAATCCACAGCTTTCTTCTGTCACCCTCCAAAAAAAATGAGACCCTGTCCCCCAAACTCCAGCAGAGAAAAAAAAAAAAAAAAAAAAAAAGCTGCACAACTTGGGAATGCTCACATGTTATGTAATTGGGGCGGTATGAGAAAAGCAATATATTCTCTGTTCAGGTTGTTCCCTTTTAGTCTAGTCTTTATGAAATGAAATACAATTCAGTCATGTTCATTTAATGCTGAAGGTTTCTCAAGCAATGGAGTTTAGAAAAGTCTCCATCTTTCATCATCCTTCCAAATTTCTGCAAGGAGATTAAAATCTATTAATCTCACAGCATACGTGTATGGTTCACATTCTTTATCAGCCTAACTTGTTTGCTAATATTTATCACACTATTTTTGGGGGGTTGAGACATGAAATGTATGCATGGATTAATTCTATGCCAAAACTTGCTGAATCTCTGTTCATAATTTCATTATTATTTTAGTCTGTATGTATGAATAGACATAGCACATGATTTTTGTATACTGCAAGTTATTATTTAATGAAAGATTTAAGGATGTTTTACAGAAAAAGAAAACAATTTTTATTCTAACAAAGAAACTTTGGTGTCTAAATAACAATTTTGTCAACTTTGTGTGGGCTCATGAAAGGACTGTGCTATAGAACTGCCAATCAGTCACTAGCACTAACAGCCCTATGCACTCTACTGCAAAAGTGTGATCCTAATAAAACTACATAATACAGTCATGTTATGTTTAAAGTGTTCTTTAAGCATAAACTCTCTTCAGAACTGTACTATAAAAAATGCCTTTTTCAATGTGTATCATGTTTTTTATAAATGGTTATTAACCTTAGTAAGACTACAATTTGTTTCTTGTATTACTTTACAGAGAAACAGTTGTTAATATTTTATTAGATATTAATATTCTAATATTGTTGACAGGGATAAAATGTTAATGTGTTTTTTTAAGACTAGGACTAAATACTTTTAAAGTATTAGCTATAATTACAATATCTGTTAGTAATATTTAACATAAGTAGTGTAATCTCTACCTACTATACTTAGAACACATAATTAATAAATATAAAAAGTGAGCACAGCTCATAGACTAGTATTTGCCAAATAACTGATGACTGCATAGGATAATATTTCACTATTACCAGTAGGAGATAGGAGTTCCTAGAAGTGGAGTTTCTGATGCTATTTTTTCAGTCCTGACTGATACTAGAGAAGAAATACCCAGTTTCATACAAAGAAACCAAACCAACAGAAAATTTTAAAACTCCTTAAAAATATAAACCCTTGCCACACAGGTAAAAATTTCAAGTTATACGGGTTCTTTGTGATTCATGTCGTGTAGTCACTAAGTACACATCTTCCATGTGTGGAAGATGACCATGACCTGCATAATAGAAAAATTATATGTGATCTAAGATGTTCTGTATTGTAATCTGTATGACAGTAACAGTGCTGAAAAGAATTTATGTGGGGGAAGAAACCTGATGGGAATTCAAGCACTAGTAACTGTATTAGTAAGTACCACTTAAAATTAACCTACTTTCTTTACAGTAAGACAAAGTATAGAAATGCTTCTATGAAGATAAAATGACCCTCATTTAGTGACAGAGGTGTAATAACAATAGATAATGGGAACCTTAATATAACACTTTCTTCAGTAGCAAAGGCAGAGCTGTAGGAATTTACTATTATTGTTTTCCTTGTAACAAGTCTATTCAAATCACCTGTGTATCATGACTGCATGTTAGGAACAAATTAGCTTAGCTTCAATATTCACTGATGCACTTTATTGCATTCTGACTAAAGCTACGTCTTGCAGACTTCTGAAAGTTAGCCTTTAATCTCCTTCCTGCAAATTACATTATAAATATTAAAATATATATGGCAGTGGAAAGTTATTAAATTTATTCCTGAATAACGTAGTTGCTTAGCCTCAAGCACGAAGTAGTAATAACTACCTCTAAGCTGTAATTAATTGGGCAAATAAATTGTTAAATTTGAAATTCTGATAAATAGGAGAAGGAAGCTAAGAAATAACAGCAACTGTCAGCAATATTTTAACACTAAGGAATTCTGTATGAGATCAAATTACAGTAATCACAATTATAAAATATAAACTAAACAGATGCTATGAGACAATGGTTAAGATTCATTCTCTTAGAATGGTTAGAATTCACCTCAATATAAGGTATCAACAACTCGGTATTTTAAAGATTATTACCAATACAGAAATTACAGATCAGGAAGTATGTTCAAAGATAGATGGTTTTTATATACTTTCAACCAAAGTACAAGCTACAGTTGAGAAGGAAGAATAAAGAACCATCAGTTACAGAGAAGCTGATGTACATACTAAATAAGTGAAGTGGTGAGGCAGGGAAAAGAAGAGACTATGAAAAGAATGGAAAATTAAAGCGGACACTTACTGGGGAAAACCACATCACTTTAAGAATCCAAATTGTCAAAGAAAAATTCACAACTAGGATGATAAGCAGGAGGAGAACAAACAGGTAGAGGCAACGCTTTCTCCAGCCATAAATTCCAATTTTGTAGACATATTCATTCTTCGGCCTCTCTAGGCTAGTGCCTGGTGTTGTTGTAGTGTATTGTTCACGTACCATCTGCTATGTAAAGAAAAAAAGGGACTGCTTAGTTTTTTGAGTTAAATTTAAAATATTTATATAAAACCCCAAGGAAAATGTGAAGATATAATTCTAGTAGGAAATTACTAGAAACTCTCATGAAATTTTACCCAGACAGCATTTTTATCATGTCCCATTCAAATTACGCTTACATCTTACTTTTTGGTACACATGATTGTATACATGGTTTTAACATGCAAGCTGCATCAATTGATATTTTCAGGACTAAACTTGAATTTATTTTATCCTATATAGAATGGCAATGATTTCCTCCCATTTTTCATACTATTCTAATTCTCCCATCACAGAATATTTCATAGGATCGTATCATAATCTGTGGTTCACAGAACAATATAATTTTACTGTAAAAATAGTTACAAGTGATAATGGTACCTTGTAAGCACAGGTTTAAACATACTTCTACATATTCTTTCCTCAATTCAGAAATAAAATGCATTCTTTCTATTGCAAAACTTAACTATCACTGGAATGCCAAAATATGTTAAGCTTCAGAATCTGTACACAAAGGAGTGAAATGGTTCTTAATAATGTAAAAGAAGTGATGATTTCTGAATTTATTGGATATTCATATTTAAAGATATATTAGCAATAAAAACTTTACTTACCTGGTTTAAACAACTTCCTTTATATTATAGTTCTTAAAGAAGCATTGTTTGAATTTGAAGAAATCTTACCAGTTTCACTTCCTTAAAACATGGAGATATTCACTAACTTCTACCTTTACAGCACAGAGATCACCAACAATTCAAACCATTCATTAAAGCTTACAATTTCAGCCAAGAGAATAAGAACTCAGCACCTGAAGCTGCTTATGTAGAACAGTGGGCAACATGTGTCTCATTTCCATCAATATAAATAAAAAAAACTCCAAACCAACCATACATGTCAAAAAGAAAATAGGTATTGTAACTTCAAGCATTTCCCATGAGCCAGGTATATCCACTGGCATCTTACATCCAAAACCTGGTCAACCTTCCTACAATATAATGTTCCCAAATGAGAGAGCACCTTCAGACAGGTTTCACACATCTCTAAATTCTGAATTTATGCCTGGAAATGAGAGATCACTGTGCTCTGCTCACACAGCTTTCAAAACATGACTAAATAACATCCTTGCCTAGCTGCTGAATTACTCGAAGTTGTTAAAGAAGCTCTTTTCAAGTCTCCTGCAGAGTCATCCTATGTCTGTAACAAGCTTATGCCTCAGTTCTAACCCTCATCTTTAGAAAGATGTCATCTTTTGTTCCTGTAGCTTCCCATCAAACTACAAGACAGAGAACGCAATATAAGCTTAAAATGGAATGGAAGTTCATGCATCATCTCTTTCCATATATGCAGAATTCATCTTATTTCTGCACTTCCATTCAAAAATCTTTTAACTGGTTGTTTATTTATATTAAAAAATAAGACTTGATCAGCAGTTCATAATGTAACTGTGCTACAGCCATTATGGGACAATATTCTAATTAATCTTTTGCTGCTATCAGTCTCAGTTGATCATGATACTGTGTACATAAATCTTTTCTTCTGTGGAAAATACTGAAAATAGTATAAGGATTTATTAGTGGAGAATAACAGATTCTCAAATAACTTGCCTTAACATTACTGTTAAACATTGTAGATGTACAAGATGTTAATTAATATTCCCCACGTGAACTACATTTCTTTAAAACAGATTATATTTTTCAGTTCTGTGTACTACTCAAGCACCTAGTACTGTTTATAGGATACTGTTTATATATGAATTGCTACCTTTTTTTTTTTTTCCATTTTCCTGCTAATGATTGTATAACAAACCATATCACTCACATAGAAGTTGCCCGCTATCTTAAATCTACTTTACCATGCTCTGCCAAGTAAGACAAACCAGGACATTTATACATACAACAGGTTTCATAAAATGCTTAGAAAACCTTTACCCTTACTTCCACACAAATTGCTCCTGAACCCTGTAACTTACAGTAATAGGATGCAGTGACTGTTATCTGATGACACTAACAGATATACTTTGAGAAATAACCCGTGCAGTTCTTGCTCATGTATAGCACTACTATCGAATACCCTAACACAGGGTATCCTCTGAGTTGCTTGTGGTTTCCTTCATTACACATATTTATTGTCAGTATAACAAGAAACAAGACAGATGACAGCTACTAATATTTCCATAGTAATAGAAGCCCCTTCAGAAGACAGACTGGTGTTGTTTTTTGTTTTTGTTTGTTTGTTTGTAGTTTGTTTTGTTTTGTTTTGTTTTTTTTCAGGAGATAAAGTCTACTTCTAAGTACACTTAAATGGTTATTTCAATAAGGCTGTGGGAAAATGGGCCACTCTTCAGAAACTGCAGAGTCTCATGATGTTAGCTGAGCCTTCAACAACAAATCTCTAGCTGTGGCATCTAAACTTAGCCTGTTCTTTGTAATGCTGTTTGCTACATCTTCAACATAAATTTGGCAATAGAAATGCCATTTGATAAAGAGTACATTAATTCTCAGATCTTCATGATTCGATGTCTGCCTCATCACAAGTGGTCTCTGAGGTTACTATTCATTTCACAATGTTAAATACCAACAATTTAGCTTTCAATATCTGAGCAAGTCAACCTGAACTCACTTTATGGTTAATGGAGATAAACCTACCCCTCTGGGAATTATTTATCTGACTTATTTTAGATAGATATTTTAGACATCCATAGAAACTGCAACTCATATGTGTTTAATTTCTTTAAAAAAAAAAAAAAAAGAAGAAATAAGGAAAGCCTGGGATGACTTTTTCATATGTATATACCTACATGCTTTAGGCATAAGTATTTGGTCAAATTAATTCCAACAAGAATGATTTCAAGAAGCATGTAATCTAACAAGAAGATAGGATTCTTTTGATTTCTGGTCTCCTTCTGTTCTACTTTTAGTCTGCTGTAAAATGTTTATTGTGTGTGTTGAGGGTTTTATACATAATGTATTATGTACTGCTGTTTAATGAGGCGAGGTCAAAATCCATTATCTATTTCACCAAAAAGCGTATGAGTTTTGTGATTGTTTTCAGCCCTTCAGAAATTCCACAGAGGACATCTCTCAGCACAGCACTGTTACCTGCATAAATTATTTTTTCCTGACAGAAAACATTTCTGTTGTTCTGAGCATTATTAATACTGCCAAAAATTGCTTTGGGCCTAGAAAATGGGTAATGCTGGTCTAGACAACTGACTGCTTTGAAAAAGATTAAATTTTTCTAATTAATATAATATTTATTTTTTTTAAAGAGAATTAGTGGCCCAGTACCAAATAGTTGCAGGGGAAATCCTTTAAGAATTGATACTGTTGGACTGTTTCTTCTGGAAGAATCAACTTTGCATATTACTGACTTACACATTCACGAGCTGCAATCACACAGAAGAATAACCTCAGACTTGCCTGGAGAAGACAGAGAGAAATTCTTTCATAGATTTGGGTTGTTTTAGAAAGCTGGACTGAAAGGAAAGCCTTAGACAGGCAGATCTCACAGTTGGCTGGTGAAGTCAGGATTCAAGACTCTTAGAAGGAAAAAAACCACATATTTAGTAATATGATGAAAAATGTAATTTGTAAATGTAAATTTGTAAATGTAAAAAAAAACCCCAAACAAAACAACCAAAAAACAAACCATGAAACTGTAAGTTGCTTGTGTAGGAGCATACTAAACAGACACCAAGAAGGACATGGTTACTTAGACAACTGAGTGTAGACAAGTTGGAGAAGAAAGAAGTCTGCACAATGAATGATGACTTCAGTAACTTCATGTTCTTTTACAATGAGGCAGCACACAGTGAGGAACAAGAGAGTAAAAACAGTCCTAGAAACCTACAGTGCAGATAAAATGGCAATTTAGTTTCAGAATGAAAATTCTGACATCATTCAAATGGGCCATGAAAACATGTATTATTTGTATCATGCCAGAAGTACTGTAAGAAAAAATATTCTACTTAATGGGAAGTTGAGTTTCTTGGTGTTCCTACTCAAGGGCCTACACAATCGGATGTCAAATCAGATTAAGGTCAACTACTTGAATATTCCGTATGGGCTTTTGTATATGTGGCCATATGGTAGTTTTCTATTTGAAAGTATTTTTCAATTGTCATAATCTGTTTTACTGGGATCCATTTTTATCCAATTACTTCTTGCCCATTTGCTGATTTAAAACAGATACTGAATGCTAATCAGCTGCCAAAAGATTTGTCATGGATTTTAAATGATAGATATAACTTGTGAAATACTTGTACACTCATGTGAGATTTTTTCATGCATTCAGGAGTTACTTGTAAGAGTTGCACATAACGCATGAAATTAATGATTATAGGAATACACATATGAGCTGCTGTATGTTCTTTACATTGTGTTACTAAAGTTGCCCTCTAAAAATACAAAGCCATGACAGAACATTTCCTTGGATCTATTTCACCTTTTTTCATGACAGACTTGGAGACTGGCTTCTCTGACTTGCATGATTCAGAGGTCCAGGAGGTTTTTATATTAATACCTAGATACTGAAAATATATCCAGCAATAATGTTACTGTTGGATTTAGGTTAGTTTGGGCATCAAGTTCAAAAAGCTATTCTGACAGCTCTTCAATTAAGACAGCTGTGTTTTGAAAAAGGAATTTTTAAACTTATTAGTAAGCCTGCTTTGGAAAGCAAGCCTGAATAGAAGCTTGTTAATAGTGTTATTTTCAGAAATTATTTATCTGTAGGAATTACTGAAGACAGTAATATTTCAATTAAAATAAGCAGTCTCAGTTTATTTCAATTGTAAAAATATGTTTTCACTGGTTTTGTTCATAAATGGCTATGTTGTTTTCTTGAACATAAATAAAATTCTTAATGCACAGTTCATAACTGTATTACTCAAGTACTTTGTCATGTCATAAAGCAATTAATAATAAACTATTAGAAAGCACAGTTTAAATATAAGATTACTTGGTTAATAC